AACGTATTTGTAACCACTTTCGAGTACGTTTCGTGTATAATTTTGAACAGTTCCAACTAGCCAATAATGATCAAAATATTTTTCGGAGTGAACACGAATAACATTCACAGACAGATTTGATGTCGATCCATCGTCACTATCGTTATCCAAAATGTAAATATCGTCACCGGCGAAATAGCGGCGATAGTATTTTAGCCAAATGGGTAAGTAACCGGGCTCATTACGACAAATAGTTAGTACAGCATATGGACTATCAACACTATTTCGTCGTTTTTTTCGACTGGGTCTAAAACTAATTTCACCATTTTGAGCTCGATTCCATTGTTCAATCCAAATTTCCATGGCTGTAGCTAGTCGACTAAAGTATTCATTTAAATAGCTCAGATTTTCACGAATCATTTCAGCCAATTCTAAGTAGCATGCTTGGGGAGTTTTTGCAGATGATGAAAATCGCACATTTTGAAAGAAAGCAATAACATCTTCTTGCCAGAACAGTCCCATGTATTCCTTCTTAAGGTTGTTGAATGGATTCGAAGCTTTATTGTGTCGAATATAAGGTGCTCCTGTTTTGACACCAAGACCCAGGTGATCTGCTATCACCTTACTTGCCCACCCAGCAAACATATCATCGTATCGTCCCCATGGCATGCCATAGCCCATAAGACCTTGCATGAAAGCCGGTCCAATCAGCTTGCGATTGAAAGCTACATTCATAGAACACATTGGATAGAGAACACCAGCAGGTACCGTTATAGTTATATCGGCGAGAAGTGTATTACGTTCGTCAACCTTGAGTAATTGAGTGGGCGCATCATAGTCAGGAGCATTAAGCCAAATGCCATGAGAAATTGCGGTTGGTACACCTCTTCGCAAACTAAATGGATATCCACGAACAAAATCGGAACCTTCACGATAAGGATCATACAGAGTATTGAAAAAATACGGAGTTGAGTTGGTAACAAGGTTCTGAATGTGTCTTTGTAAGGCATTGGTGTAATTTCCGTCGGTATTCTCAACTGGCAAACAGTCATCGTCAATTGTGTAAATGAAAGTTTTATTCGAGACAAGAAAGCCGAAGTTTCGAATCGATGCATCTTGCGAGCTAATGATCCATTGTTTGTCTTTCCCCAATGACGCCTCTATATCGCGTCTATTGTACAGTTCATAGTCAGCCCATATCGGAATTCGTAAAAACTTATCTGGATCACCATCTTGTATGATGATCAGATGAAAATGTTGAAAGAAAGATTTCCAATGTTCAAGAAAGTCAAGGTCACGTATGGACGGTATTACAATATCGATCTCATTATAATAGTTACTTAAATTGAATTGTGGTGCCTTTCGAATGAAATGAAATTGATTGGTGCAGTTAGGATGGACGAAATTCGAGGTAGTTGAGTTCCAACCGCACTCTTCTTCAAATCGTTTAACGGCTAAAATGAAAGACTCTTTGTTGTAGAGAAAATGCATCTGTGTTTCACTTATTAGAGGACACATTTGTACCGTCATTTTTCTGATTTTTTTCTTAACGTTTCCTTCCTATCCATCAGCAGTCAGAACTGCAGTCAAAATAATATATTCCTGACGGACAAGTACATTAGCTCTATTTTGATTATCAAACATGTCTTCTTGCAATTGGCTACTTGTTGAAAATGATTGTGTGCATGTTTGTTTGCCTTTGTGCTACGATTGATTCGTGTGTCAAAAGGAACACAGATCATAAGAGAACTATGAATTCACTGAAACAGATTGTGGAACGCAGGAAGAAGGAGAAAACCAGTCAGAGTTAATATTCTCCTTTCTTCCAGATTTTCCCTCATGTATTTCATCATTCATTTGAATTCTGTCATTGTTCTCTTATAATATTTGTTCGTTATCTCGTATCATCTGAGAACAGCAGGAGTGCATACAAGCATCCATATGATCATTTGTAAACAGAAAGCAGTTTTTAAAAAGACATCATAAGCGTCAGAACACCAAACGAGATTGCAGCAGCAACAGAGGTTTCGAAAAAAACCAAGAACCGGTCAAAACAGCCTTCCTTACTCTCAAACAAGTCGTGAAAATATTACCTACAGTTGCGCAAATAAATGTCACATATATAATAAACTGCAATTACCTGTCGCGGCACCGTAAGACCTTGTAGCGCTAGTATTCACGCCGCCATATTTTGTTGATAGAACTGATCGTATTGTCCTCGGGATTCCTGGCCCAGTTGTGCCAGGAATGCTATTAACGTCATCAAAATACTCCAAACTGGATGCACTCAATCTTGTTTTCATGTCATTTGGTATGTCATTCAGCTTCATAATAGCACCTTTGGGCAATATGTAGCGACCGTAGAAATTGTTCAAGTAAGGGTAACTCATGACAAAACTAAATAATAAGATGATGACGAAACATGGTAAGCGCAAGCTCTTCAGTTTTGAAATTAACGAATTCGTTGTTTGATTTGGAGCAGAAATAAATTCCATCTAAAAAGAACTCAGTATGGAGCTGAACACGATATTGAATAATCATCGTTAACCATACTATCAGCAGTTAAAACTATACTGAAATAAGTGGATCTACACTTCATAAATCAGGGTTCCATCAATCAAAAAGTGAATGAGATTTTATCTGTTACTGTCGTATATTTACGGGTGGATTCACAATAAAACCACTACAACTGTATAAAACTGTCTGGCCCGAGTTCATCGATTGAAACTTTTTCTCTCTCACCTTGAAGATCCTACAGTGTAAAAATAACGACAGAATAGTCAACCCTTGTGCGTAAATATAATGTCAATAGACTCTTGAAGAGCTATTCAGTTAATTAGATAAACACCGAAAAAAAGCACATACAAATGCTGCAAAAATTTAACAAAAAAATCATCGTAAAAATTGCACTTTTTTCAGATGTTTTTTTTGTTAAAGCTTATCAATGCCTTTTATTTCGGTTCAAATTTTAACGCATTTTAACGCGTTAAAAGCTTACACGAAATAAAACGCATTGATAAATTTTGATGAAAAAAATCAAACAATAGTGCGCCTTTTTACGATTTTGTTGTCGTTAAAGTTTATGAATGTGTTTTATTTCGTTGCAAACTTCTACGTATTTTAACGCGTTAAAGTTTTCAACAAAATAATACGCATTGGTAGATTTGAAGGAAAAAAATACAATAAGGCTGCGCTTTTTATGATTTTTTCTTCGTTAAAATTTAGATTCATTTTTACTGGTTCTGTTCTGTTTTCTTTACTGACGAAGGAAGAGTCATATAAAATAAAATGAGTTTGTGGTCGTCAATGCGTAATGAGATGCAACTGTTTAGTCACGTGTCGGCATGTATTAGTGTAATTAATCAAGTTTGACCAAAGGTAATCGGGGTCAAGGAATCCGAATCCGATATTAGTTTTTGAAATTTCGAGGTGGTTTTTCTTCACGAGAGGAAGGCTTTTTTGCGAAAAAAATTATTTTTCCCATGACTAAAGGGAGAGTCATACGAAGTGAAACGACATTGCTTGCTGCAGGTAATCAGTTGCTTCTCCACTATCACGAATCTTAGGTGTCGAGACTAGGTGTGCACCACTGGGTACCTGGTCGGACTGGTATCCAGTCATGCCTGGCTACTTAGT